TGCGGGGTGGGGTGCGGGGGCTGCCCGGGACGGCGGGGCCGGGAAACGGGGCCGTGCATCAGCTCCCTGCACAGGCTGAGCTGTAACGCACACGAGGTAACTTTCTGCGAGTTAAAATATATATGTACTGGCTTAATTACTGCATATGCTGTCATATATAGAATCATAGAATGCTTTGGGTTGGAAGGGACCTTGAGAGATCATCGAGCCCAACCCCCCCTGCAGTAAACAGGGATTGAACCTGTGAGCTTGGCGTTATACTGTCATATATACTGTCTAGTATGTGATGTACCAATCTGTAGTGTATAATGCCATATACATCCCATAATACGCAATATAGGCTATGTAATATATACTTGTGTATATGTATGCTTACATTCAGTGCTTAGTACTAGCCTCTAGATTGCATTTTGAGTAACTCTAGGCTGTAAGTTAACAAATACATCCTACCAGGTGCATATACATATATATTAATTTTGATGCACAGTAGCATTCTCTAGATTGCACTTGGTATAATAAAGCTAACGTTAATATAACTTCATCTGTGTTGTAGTTACAGATCTATATTAAAAACATGATATAGATAATGTGCACATATTTACATAAACTTGCAGCAAGGTGGAAAGTATTTAGCTGCAGTTGTGTTAAGAGTACACATATTACATGCATGTATACATACTTTTTTTTTTTTCTGCCTTATCATGCTTCCCAGTTGCTGACTCGCCTCGCTGGTAAGTTCAGGACATACAGCCCCAAACCGTCTCGGCACTGGCTGGAGGAGGGTGTGCAAGGTGCAGGGCCGGTACCGGCACCCTTGTGCCGCAGCCCAGCGCGGGGCTGCCTGCTGGACACCAGCCAGGAAACGTGTGGTGGAGCAGAGCTTTGCATCTCTAGTCTTTTTTTGCAGAGATAATATCCTCTGCTGTTCTTCCTTTTTTTTCTCCGGAGGAAAGCCTCGTGCGTGCTGTGTTAGCGTTATGAGTTTAACGCTCTTTCATTTTGTGGGACAGTAGATGCGTCCTAATGTAATGGTGGAAAAGTGCTATGTAATTTAAAGTTGTATTTCCATTCAGATTGTCACTGGGATTTTTTGGTTTTATTTAGTGAAGCAACGAGTTCTTGAGAGACAGTCTCATAAGCTGCATTTGGGAGAAAAAGGAGAATTGAAGTTGATTGTCACAGACCCTGAAACAGCACTAGGTACTGAGGAGGAGGCGTTTGAAGAAAAATTAGTTCCCCCAAAGGTGAATAAAAATTGTAATCCTAACCAGAGCTTTGAAATAGTGGTGAGAGCGTCAAATCAGTCACTGATATTTTGCTTTCATTTTATTTTAGGCTCTGGATGCCACGAGCAATCTCCAAACAAAAGGTAAAATGTTATCCATCACTCTGTGTGCTGATTCTTCATAAAACGAAAATGTTGGTGCTTTTCTCCATACACAGCTCCGGTTCTGTGGGGAGTTGTGCTGAAAGTTTCTGAGTTTGGCACCCTGACTCAGGTGATAGAACAAAAGATGTCGGGCCAGGGGCGCTGTAGACTTGATCACCAAGGATGGAGTTCACCTTGCCAGACTTAGACCACACACCTGCTTTTAGCTTCTAAAATAGCCTTTTTAATCAGAGGAGCATCTCCAGAGAGGGATTTAGTTCCCTTATTCTGCATAACTGCTCTAAGATGAGATCTGCATAGAAACACCTAGATTGAAGGTCTTAATCCCAGGCCTGGTGTTTCTGTGCTCCCTACAGTTAGGACAGTCTGTAAAGGCAAGTGGTGCATCTCCCCAGTACCTTGGTGACTTCGGTTAGGTCCTCTTTCAGCAGTATTCTGCTAAGCTTCATGATTCAGAAAGCAATCTAGAAAATATGACTGCACACCCAAATACACCGGCATCCGTGAACGGTAAATACTCAGTCCCAAGACAGACCAGTTAAGCAGGAAGTTCTTCAGTGATTACCCCCATATCTTTTCCTTTCTGTATGAAGTCTTGTTCAGTGCCATTTTGTGTGGTTTTCCTCCTTTCAAAATTAGGTACTCAAAGTTGTCATCTGTTTGGTTTTAGTTATACTAGAGGGGACCCTGAAAATCTCCAGATGCAGCTTTTAATTGCTTTGTTGGGTCAGCCTAGCTTTCAGTTTTAGCTTTTTTGTACTTTCTTCGTTGGACATGGTGGAGCAGATGTTTCCTATTAGCAATCTAGAAAGTAACAACTAGCGTCTGTAGAGCTATGGCTTCTGCAGTTATTTTGTTTTCTTCTTGTCAGGCTTATGCTGTGGTAGGCCTTCAAAAGCAGCTGTCTTCTGTAAATATTATGGGTTTGGTTTCAGTTGTTGTTGTACCTCAGGAGAACTCCTAAACCCGGTGAGTGGGCAGAGCCAGCCTGTTTGTGCTGCCACCTGCTCTGGCCTTCCCACCCCATGTCTCTGTCTCTCTCCTTGGGGCTGCCCCCACGACCAGCCTGTTGGGTGCTGCCCCAGGATTTAGGGATTTTTGGGTGTTCTTAAGCAAAAGCAAGCAGAGACCTTACCCCCACACCCCACGTCAGGTGTACAACTGCTCCACCGAGCTTCTCTCCCCTCGGTCATACCTGTCCTCTGCCACGGCCAGAGATGGTGGCCCTGGAAGGTTTACACGGAGGACGGTGAACTCCAGCGTTTCATTCGATGCTCGTCTCCCCACCATGGTGCAGGGATGTGCTGCTTTACCAAACTGAGAGGGGCTTATGCTCCTGCTTGTGTTTGTTGGGGCAAGGAGGGGAGAGCTGCCTTTGTTTGTGAGCATGGCCATCTTGAGCACCCTTGGGTGCCCTTTGGCTTGTGCCAGTCCCCCACCACCTTGCAGCGCTCCGTGGCCACCGTTTTCCATGAGTTGTAGGACAGTTTTGTCACCACATACCTGGGTGACACTTTCAGTGTACTCAGGCCTGTGGCGGAGCATGCCATTCCCGTTCGGAGGTTCTCTCCTGCCTCCACCCTCATCTGTCTGCAAAGCTGGAGACGTGCCTTCCTCTGGCAGCTGCTGGACTTCTGGGGTACTCGGTGGGCACCCCTGTTATATTTTCTACCCGCAAAATTTTGTCGCATCCCTTCTGTGCATATGGGTCCTTCAGCGCTGTCATGCCACGCTGATGGCACGGCACGGTGGTCATCAGGAGGCTTTGCATCAAGTCGCACAGAGCTACTGGTGGCTTGCGGTGCCTGCAGATGTCCTGAGCTATGTTCAGGCTTGCTATGCCTGCACCCGGGCTAAGAAACATAGGCAGAGGCTGCAGGGTCTCTCACAACCCTTACCAGTGCCTGAGCAGCCACGGCCAATTATCTCAATGGATTTTATTATGTCTCCAACCCGGAGACATACCGGTGACCTTGGACTTGTTTACTCACGGCTATTTTTGTGCTATCAAAGAAGCTGCCTGCAGCCCTGCAGAATATCGCATCTGGGCTGTTTTGGGTCCCAAAATGTCCCGGGGTGCCCTGCAGTATTCGGTTAGATGATCTCTCTTCTGGGAAAAGGAAAGGAGAGAAAGGGTAAGCAAAATCTGTTTATTCCAGGAAACATGTACCAATATGTCATGTGGCTTTTTTCTCTTTCTGTTGAAGATGATGCAGAAGCCTTGCAGAAAGCAGAGAGTTTTGTTCCAAAACATGAACTCTGGGAGGAGGCTGGCTCTGCAGAGAACATCGCAGAAAAGTCCGCAGAGGCCTTGCCTTCGGTGGTGTTTGAAAACATACAAGGATGCGGTCCAAAATGCTTACGTATGCTGTTGGAGAACATCAGTGGTCTGGCTGATGATGACTTCACTTTGGAAGTGATACCTGAAATAAATGTTGCTGTAGCTACCTTCATGAAAAGTATCGGTAAGACAGGATGAACATCATCATTTATTTCCATGTATATGTATGAGTAATAGCTTTCAGAGCTTGATTCCTCTCCTGTTAGAGATTTGACAGTTTTAAAAAAGTACCTTGACTGTCATCTCTCAAGAAAGATGTCTTATATACAGCTCCATGAAAATGCCTATGATCCAAATGTTGCACTGAAAAAGAAAATTGTGGCATCTTCATTAATTGAGATTGGATGAAAACGTTTCATTGTCTCTATCTGATTTTGCGTTTAATGGAGAAGAATTAGACTGAGTGTGAAGATGAGCTCTGCAAATTACTGAAGTATGTAAAGTCTCCATTTGAGAAGACAGTGAAACAGTGAGAAGTGCTTAGTTTATACAAGAGATGAATAAGAGGGGAACGGAGACGTAATGGTAGTGAGTTGCAGAGAGTAACCTGGCTGTGCGCGTTTCCCCTTTTTTATTACAACGCAGAGTTATTTGGCACCAAAGACAGTTTTGCTCCAAATACAGGGAGAAGTAGACTCAGCTAATTTCTCTGCCAGAAGTGATAGCTGGGGCTGATAATGACCCAGGAAAACATGGTCAGTTCATACTGCTCTTCTGTTTACAGATAGTGAAGAATTTGTCAAAAAATGTTCACAAAACAAGAGAGTTAAAAAATTCAAAGTGACTGCCAGGCTTCTTGAATTGACCCAGAGCATCAAGGCTGAAAACATACCGGCCACCGTTTCCGCAGACTACATCACCGTTTACTTTGAGAGCGCACGGAACGGAGGGGGGCCCGTGTCGGATGTCCAGCTCTTCCCTGAGGAGAACTCGGCCATCGTTACTTTCTGTGATCACAAAGGTAATGCAGTCCTTTGCCTGACCAAAGTGCTCCCAGGTGGAGGACCTGAAAGAAAATTACCGCAGTCTGGGCATTAGGAGGAGCCTGGCTTGCTGTCACTAAAGTCAGCATACACTGTCCTGTTCCTGGAAAGTGCTCTGGATTTAGAAATATGGCTGCATGTCTAGGGTTTCAGAATATCTCTTTTTTTTTTTTTTTTTTTATGTTACCAAAGGTTCATTTGAATACCTGCTTTATGTATGGGTTGTTCCCACTGATGTTTTTTCCCCATTTACAGAGGTTTTTAATCTGCAATACGACATTAATTGTACTTACAGGTAGAGGAAGCAGGATCTGTCAATGCCTTCAGCTTTCACAGCTAGCTTTGAGAAACTAATTAAGGTCAAATATCTTCATTATCAGGGAAGAACAGAGCTAAAGAACAATCTTGGTTACTATTCCTTGTGTTGAATCACCGTCTTGTTTTTGTGCCAGTGCAACCTCTGGTAAATATCTCTGTGTTAGCAGACTCCTGCCTTAGTAAATTGCTTTACTTTTAATTAAAAGGTATCTGCCCAGTGATTGTTTTTCTTCTGACTCTCAGAATTTGCTTAAGAATATTTTGTACTTTAAGTTAATACATAATTTGGATCATTGTAATGTGGTTTTAAGTCCCTGCCAACATTATAATTCCTTTCCTTTATCTGTTCCAACTGAAATGGCCAAAAAAAAAAAAAAAAAGTAAACATGCACTGGCACAAAGGGTTTTATTTTAAGTTGAGAATAAGGAGCATTTCATAGTAGTACCTTGATGTGGCCCTGCTCTGTGGTGGGTTTTCCTTAGGAAATGAGAGCAAGGTGTAGCTGTAAAGGTAAATACAGGCACAAGCATATTTACCAAACTAGTTGGAGCCAAGCCCCTTATCTTGTCCCCTACAGAGTGGTTTGGAAATCAGGAGGACATAAAAATAGCTCTTTCAATTAAAAAAAAAAAGTTATTTTATTCAATGTAATTGTTTTAAGAGCAGTCTCATTTGCTTGATTTGAAGTTAATGACGTGTGTTTGTATGTATGTGCGCTAACTTTTAGATCTAAAAGCTGTCTTGGAAAAGCAGCATTTACTGGAACAGACACTGATATCTGTGCATCCATATTACCAGTCCCTGGGAACAGCTCTCTATGGAGAAGATAGACCAACTATCAAGATGCCAGACCCCATTGGGGTCCCACTAGATCCATATGTCTGGCAGTTTTTACAAAGGCAGGCTAAACTGATCCAAGACATAAACCAGGAAATGGCAATTTGCCATTGTGAGCTAAAATGGCCACAGACGGACTGTGCACACCCAGAAATTATGTTGTGCCCATCATCATCTCTCTCCGAGCAGAAAAAGCCAATGACTAAGTTGATCAAGACATGGAAGCAAGATGCATCTGCTGAGTTCTTGCGTATCATGTCACGTTACATAGCTATAAAATGTAAAGTAAATTCACTGGATTGGGAAAACGTGAAAAACAGATTGGTGAAAGATGTTGCTTTGATCATAACTGATATTTCTGAGGACGTGGTGGTGATTGCAGGCAACAGAGCAGCAGTGGACAGTGCAGAGAAAGAAGTGAGGGAATGCATGGAAAAAGCCATGAAGCAAAGTGAAAGGGAAAAACAAAGCATAGAAATTTCTGTGTCAGTGATCCCAGGGAAGTATGCCGTTCTGCACAATGCTGGGCTAGAAGAGAATATTCACCAAGAATATCCGTGCTTAAAGGTCTTTTATGATGACACAAAAAAAACTATTCAGTTGTGTGGATTACCTGCGGAAGTATATAAAATCAAAGCTGACTTACTGGAAAAGGTATTGAACATGCCATGTACATCAGTTACCATTGATACCCATGTTTTCTACTATCTACAGCATGTAGATAATAAAACAATGTCAGAGACATTATTCATTAGGAAGAAAATTAATGCTTTTTATGAGCTTGAGGGCGATACTGTGTTGCTATTTGGAGATGCTCCCAAAGATCTTTTAGAAGCAGAAGAGCAAATAAAGACAGGCTTAGAATATCAGTGCATTAATGTGGAGGATGGTGAGGTCATTAAAAAGGAGCAGTGGAAGAGTCTTCTTGCCTCCTTGCGTAAGAAGTACAGTTCTTCCCGGAAAACTGTAGTCATTGATGAACCTGTTGGAAAAGAAAATAAAGTGATTATTGCTGGCTTTTCTCAGGCCGTAACAGAAGTTTATCAGAAACTTAATGATTTTATAGATAGAAACACACATGTGGAAAAAGTAATCCCAGCTGATTCAGTGGCAGTAGTGCAATTTGTAGAGAAGGAAAAATCCAGTGTTTATTTTGAATTGAAGAAGAAAGGTGTGACAGTATGGTTTGACACCAAGACACCGTGTATTTCCCTGAACGGGCCAAGAGCAGAAATGCCAAAAGCAGTCACCACGTTTGAAAAAATTGTCTCATCCCTTTGCTGGAAAAATGTGCCAATTGATAAACCAGGAGCCAAAGAGTTCTTCACTGAGAGGAAAGATTCATGTGTTTTGGAGGCAAAGCAGAAATTTAGCTGTTTGATTAGGCTGGAAGAAGAACAACAACAACAACAGAAGGGTGAAAAAGTTGGTGATAAAGAGGAAAGAAAGCTCTACTACAAGACAATGCTGCCAAATGGAGTTGTAATAGCAGTGTATAAAGCTGACTTGTGCGCTCATCCTGTTGATGTTGTGGTAAATGCATCTAACGAAGACTTAAAACACATCGGTGGCCTTGCTGAGGCACTGTTAAAAGCTGCTGGTCCAGAGCTGCAGCAGCAGCGTGACGAGCTGGTGAGGAAGAACGGGAGTTTGCAGCCTGGGTGTGCAGTTATCACGGGCCCTGGGAAACTCCCCTGCAAGAACGTCATTCATGCCGTTGGGCCCAGGTGGAGGAAGGATGAACCAGAAAAGTGCGTGTACTTGTTGAGAAAGACAGTGAAGAAAAGTCTGCAACTAGCTGAAACATACAATCATCGTTCCATAGCTCTGCCTGCTACAAGCAGAGGGGGTTTTAACTTCCCGCTGCAGACGTATGCAAACTTAATTATATCCTCCATCAAGGAGACCTTGGAAGAATCCATGGGGGACAGCAGCTTGAAGGAGGTTCATCTTGTGGGTGATGCAGAAGCAGTTCAGGTTCTGAGCGAGACAGTAAAGAAAGTGTTTATAGCTAAATCGTCCTCCCCTATACTGCTGACGCCGTGCTCGAAAACCCGTAAGCTGAGAGAAGGCCAGAAGGATAAGAGAAAAGAGAATCTGCAGATGGTTATGACAAATGAAGGACTTCGCATCCTAGTAGAGGAGAAAAACATTCAGGAAGCCACGGTAGGTCTTTAATTTTCCCCTTCCTCTCTAACTTGACATGAAGCTCTTCTTTAAATTTAAATAGAAAAGGAGGGACAGTAGGTTATATTGTTTCACAAGGCAATTGCTACATAAGGAAACAATGGCTATGTGCTAGCTAAACAAGGATGCAAGCTTGCAAACCTGATGGATTTCAGGTTAGGATCTGTCACTCTGCAGCCGTTTCTAGTGGGCAGCTGTGAATTTTGGGATGTTTTGTCCCCAGCTGGGTTTTATTTGTTCTCCAGATCTAAGGTCAACATGTAAAACAGTTTGCTTTTTTCCTAAAAGGGAAAATACTTTCTAAAAGTATTTATATGATCTGTAGCTGTCTAGGTTGGATATTGTGGGAAATCAGCACCTGCTTGGGCTGCTATTGTGAGTCATGCTAACAGGGAGGATGTAGCTTTTTTTTTTTTTTTTAGTTCCCTTCTCTTTGGATGGATTAAAGACACAGTCTATGAAGAAGTTACTGGGCTCTGGAAAAGCGACCCCATAGAAGAGTGCATGCTTAGATTGTTTTGCCAAAGTCTAGACCTGATTCTACTTCCCCCCCTGCCCTATATTACAGTGAGGAAAGTGGATTTTGTAGCCCCCCCGTCCCCCCCCCCCCCCATTTTCTTTTTTCATTCTTTTTGCTAACAAAGAGTTTAACTACTACTCATCTACACCATCAAGATTCAGTTTACACCTCTGACATAGTTTCTTACCCTTCTGGTTTTTTTCTTCAGTGATGCAAAGTGCATCTTGATAAATCTCTCTTTTTCAACAGCCCCTGATTTTTATACTTTGGGAGTTTAAAATCTCCATAAATTATTATTATTATTGTTGTTTCAATATTAGTTGCTTCAGTTGTCATTTTGGTGCCTGTAAAAGCCTATTCCAATACAAGAGCAATACTAGATGTAAAAAAAAAAAAAACCCAAAACTAAAACAAAACCCAAAAACCTCAATATGACACAGCTTTAAAATACCTTGTAATTAAAACATCTCCAGTGGAAAAAAGCAAAGCAAACACCAGACCTCGAGGCTTTACCTGTTTTACTTCATGGGAGCACAACAACCTCCCTTCACCTCATTTTGGTGCATGAGGTGCTGCTTTTCTGATAAGGTGTAGACAATCCCACTTCAGTGAAGGGGACATTGAACTTCCTACATTACGTGTACCTTATACAACATATATATTTTGCATCCTGTGATGATGCTAGAGGAGAAGGAGCAATACTGTAGCAGTTCTTCATGAGGAAATGTAGGAAAGGCTGGGTCTGGGGAGAGGGGATGAGGCAGACTGCAGAGGCTGGGTTTATTTCACCTGCTGAGACATTGGCATCTGCTCAGGATGAGATGAGTCACAGCCTTACCTCCACGGAGGGCTTGACAGCTCTGCCTGGGTGGATGGATGACCTGCTCACACATAGGTACCTGTGATGGTGGTACTCACAGTGAGTCTGATGCTGCCTACCGTAGGTTTTCTACAAGTCCAGGAATACTCAGTATGCAGCAGCTGTGCTGAAAACCAGGTTATTTCTCTGTTGGCATCTTGGTTTTTGTGCTGTGCGTTGCTTTGGTAGTGCTATTAGTCTCGATGCATATTTTTACTTGAAGTCTGGTTATAGATATTTTCATTTCAATTTTGTTGCAGACGGATGTTATTGTCAACAGTGTTGGCACAGATCTGAAGTTTGGTGTGGGGCCTCTTTGCAAAGCCTTGCTGGAAAAGGCTGGACCAGCGCTCCAAGTAGAGTTTGACAAAGAAGTACAAGAACAGGTTGCTGGTCAAGGGAGTGTGCTCTGCACCACTGGATGTGCTCTGGCCTGCAAGTCTGTGCTTCATGCCATACTTCCCGTGTGGGATGGAGGAAGAGGACAGACCCAGAAGGTACATTTTAGTTATTAATTAAAAAAAAAAAAAGATTTTGAAAACAGATTTATTTGGGATCCTATCCTGAGGCTTCAGGATTTAAAATAGTTAGCTGAGATAACTCAACTCCATTTACTTCTGTTTGAGTGACCTTAAAGATGCCTTGATGCACTGAGAGCTTTTTCTCATACTAGCATAGTCTCTATAGAACTAATAATAAATGATGCCCTTTTTTTAAAAAAGGAAAAAAACAACTTTGCTGTGTTTTGCAGACCCTAGAAGATATAATCAATTACTGCTTGAAGAAAACTGAAGAACTTGGACTGAATTCGATCAGTTTCCCAGCTATTGGAACTGGAGGATTTGGATTTCCTAAAACCGTTGTTTCTAAGTTAATGTTTGATGCAGTATTCGCATTCAGTAGTAGTGGTGCTCGGAAGTCTCTCCAAGAAGTTCATTTTCTCTTGAATCCAAAAGATACAAATAACATTCAGGTAGTTTTTCTCAGGACAAAGCTGTCTATGTTATGTACTGGTCTAGTTACACCTTAACAATATATTTTAGTTATATTGCTTTCTTAAGGGAATAATTTAGCACTTTCTTACTGCTGTGGGCCGGTGACAGTGGGATGTCTCTCCAGTGTCTCATTCAGTGTCTCTGAAATATAAAGTCTCAGCAAGCACAAGCTGCAGACAAAACTGGCCTCGCTGCTGTAAACACCTGTAGATGCTCACTCATCTTTTGACAGAGGAGTTCTGGCAACACAAAGGCAGTATCTATTATCACACTGTACATACTGAGGCTTCCACTGTTATTAATGATACCTAAATGTGACTGTAAAATTCATCAGATGGCTCAGCAAGAGCTACATGACTGTTAATGTTAATCATAGAAATATTCGATATATAAACTCTGAAATGCTCTCTTTGGTACCTTTTTTCTCTTCTTAGGCTTTTACCACTGAACTAGAACATAGGGTAGCTGAAAGTTGCAATGCTGCAGCACCACAGTCAAGTAAGTTGTGTAGGGGCAGGAGGTGGGACACAGGGGAGAATGTAAATACTGTAAAGTGGTTTTATGCATATCAGGAAACAGACGAAATGTCATCAAGACACAGATCATTTTTTTTCCTCCTAATGGGATGGCATTCTTAAACTCCATTTGTAAGAATCTTAAAGAGGAATTTATTTTGTGGAGGGCATGCTCATCTCTTAGTGAGGCCAGTCTTATCGCATGGAAGAGGATATCCTGGTAGGAGAACTGTTAGTTTGCCCTACTCAAAGGGTATAAGAACTTGGTATCACTTTGCCAAACAAACCATAAATAACATGTATTTCTGTACCTTTAATCTCCTATCTAGAGATATACAGAATGCATAATTTCCTTTCCATTTATTGATGGTAGTGTGACACAATAGCAAAAACATGAGTGAACTGCATCAACGGCAGAGGCTTATCCGTAAGAATATATAGCTCTTTCTTCTCAGTTACTGTGAGTATTGGTGAGATGAAGTTAAGAGTGTGCAGATAAAATATGAGGTAGGTAAGTTTAGACAACAAGTAAGGAAGTTTTATATCTGTGAGGGTAAAGATGAAATAACTTACAAAAGTGGTGTGATGGGATCCCCATTACTGGTAATGCTTAAGCTGGATACTCCATTTCTTGGAAGGGTTAATTTAGGAAGCTCTGTTACAGAGCTGGTCAGATCAGATAACCCCAAGAGTCCTTTCTGAATTTATCTTGCGTGAATACATAGAAATATATATATATAAAAATTTCTATGTAATATATAGAAATTGTTTCACTTGCACAGTATTTAAACAGGAAGAATACTGTGCCTTCCTGCTTTCAGAAATGGAGTGAAGAGAAAGGCAGAGACTCTCTAGGTCCATCAAACTGATCTAGAGCATATTCCTCAAAAGGATAAGTTGAAGTTTCCATCAGTGGAAGAGAATAATACCCCAATCTAGAGGAGAAGCGTTTTAAGGTGTTTTTCTTTCCCTTGCAGGTTTCATTACACCTGTTTCAACTGAAGCATTGGGAGTTCATGAAATGCAGATTGGTTCCATTACACTGCAAGTAATTAGTGGAGATATTACCAAGGAGGATACAGAGGTTATTGTAAGCGTATCAAATCCAACATTTGATGCCACATCAGGTATTGTATTGAATATGTAGCTCTTTAGTGATAAATCTGTGTTAGTTTCTAGAAGGGGGAGGGGAAAGAATTGTCCATATGTGAAAGTCTTATGAAGTATTTTTCAGATGAGAGTGAGTTGTGGTTAGTCAGGAAATCGATCTTGAACAGTTTTTTTACATGTCCTGAATATTCCATTTAGTATTCCATTTAGTTTCTAAACTACTAAAACGGAAGGCATCTGACCAGATTTTTCTTGTTTAAAACCAAAAATGCTTAAATAAAAGGGAATTTTTAGATCATGTATAATTCTGCAAAACTGCTCTTGTCCTAATATGTTCCACTGTAAGCCAAAGCCCTGGTTAAGTAAATTGACCTGTAAGAAGCAGAGGATTCTTTGGTGACATTGTGAATTGCAACCATGAAGGACATCAAAGGATATAAATGAAAGCAGTCAGAGTTCAGTGAGGGGCATACTACTGGCTGGTGAAACAATGCAATAGGAGTTACTCTGACTGATTTCTAATCAATAATGAAGGCAATGTTCTCTTTGCAGCCAGTACCGTGTGTCATGGAGGGCACTTAGGGGAACTGGCAAGGTTTTGCACTTTGCAGGATCTTGCCCTGTGAGAATTTGGGATGTTTGTAGAATACAGAAGCTGGGTAGAGTTTTGAGTAGAAATAGCTAAATTGACTTAATGAATGCATATGCTTTTCTTGTATAATTTAAGGGGTCTTCCAAGCAATTATGGATGCTGCTGGTTCCAAGGTAAAAGAAGAATGTACTCTATATGGTAAGTGAAAGCATACTATTTTGTTTGATTAAATTATTTTTTTGTTCTCTCTGAAAACTTAAAGCTGTTTTATAATTCTCTGGTATAATTATTTTATCTGAAAAAAATAGCTTTCGCTTTTAGGAATTCTGAAAAGTCCTATTGTGACACCTGCTTTGAGAATTTTTCTTTTCACAACTGAACAGAAGATGGATACAGTTTTCTGATGCTAATAAGTGCTTGGAAATTAATCTAATTTAAGTTCTTTATCCCTGAAATTACTCATGCATGTTCCTGACTTAGGAACAGAAAAGGTCCCATTGACTTAGAGCATAATTATTAAGCTCACCTATTGTCAGCTAACAGGAGAGCTGAAGTTCTGAAACTGAACAAAGTGGTGGAAGACTGTCTTTTGGTGTAAGCATGTGCAGGACTGGCTTTTAAAAGCTAATAGCAAATTTGGGTCTATGTTCACAAATACATAATTATTTTTGATTGAAATAATGTAACTCTGCTTATCACCCTAATCATGAGTTCATCTGTAGTCTGCATTCTGCCAGACCAGTAGAGTAGTAAAAGGTTGACCCCTACAAGCACGGGAAGGAACACGTTCTGTTTGCATAAACAAAATGTTCCTGCTCTGAGTCCAGAAGTTAACTTTCAACATGGAGTTTCCTGGTGTCGTGGTTTAGCCCCAGCAAGCAACTCAGCACCACGCAG